TCTATCTATCTATCTATCTATCTATCTATCTATCTCTCTTCCGCAGATTTACACCCCCCTATCCTGCTCGCAGTTGCATCAAAGCTCACTCCTTTTGCAAACTTTGAGACTACGAAGTGCTGCTTCCTATTCCAGAACTTTGACCTTTCGAACTCGTGCTTTTCGTCACATCTGATATTCGAATCGCAGTTCATTGATGTGGAGTGAACAGATCTCTAAACAGATATTCAAACATATTTCAGATTTTTATTATTTGCATCCTTGCACGAGTTTGTGAAGTCTTGCATTTCAGGGGCTGGGGGCTACAAAATCTGTAAACGTTTGTGACAACTTTGTGTCGTGCTTCACTTGCGCGTGTCATCTGTTTCTTACGCGGTTGTGATTAGTTGATCTCATGATGTTGTGCCACAATGTGGTGTGTGTGCCTGTTATTTGCCCTGTGTCTGTTGTTCCTTGTGCACATTGTGAATCTACTGGGTTATCCGCACCACCTGCAAGTACGTGTTGGCAACCTCCTCGTTCCCTATTTCGCCCCTTCGTTTGCATAAACTCTGTGACACCTCCCTTTTAATTTCAACTTTCAAGTTCTCTTATTGAAATTTGTAAACTGATTAACTTGTTTGAGTGTATGTGTGTGTGTGTGTGTGAGAGAGAGAGAAAGAGAGAAAAAAAAAAACCTGATTTCCGCACAAATCGACGGGGGAAGCACACAAAGGCAGCTTTTTGGCATGGCAACGCATATCGCAGCAGGGGACATCTAAAATAAAGAAAAAAAAAATGTAGCGCATCTTGTGCATCACCCCGGGAGGTACACCGCAGGTGCACGCACATCAGCGCATGCGCACCTGCCACGCGAGCATGGCGCATGAGGGTGCGCAATACCCGCACACTTGTCAAGTGCGGATGCCGCACTGCGCATGCGCAACGTGTGAACCCGCCGCAAGTATGCTCAATACCTGATTGGACCTGCCTAGCTGCAAACACCTGGCTCGTTGGTAACGTCTCCTCCCCGCTTGTTCGAAATTCCACCGCCTTGAGGGTTCTTTCGTGCCTCTGATTGGTCATACAGATGATGGCAGATACCTCGTCACTCGAAGCTCAATGCGATGACAGTTTTGGGATTTTCGGTCTCCACAATGGCAGCCTCAGAGTAACGATCTCAGGGATGGCATTTTCGGAGTTCTCAAACTCTTCAATCGTAATTTTGGAATTTCGGACTTCGTTATGGCAGTTTTATAGTGAGAAGACAAGGGGGTAAAGTTGATGAAGGATGGAGAGAGCAACATAGAGGCAAAAAGGGGAAGGGGGGAAGGGGGGAGAAAGGAGGGGACCACATGTCGGCGATGAAACCCGTAAGAACATACCTCTGACCGGTGGAGTGAGAAAGTCAAGGGATAGAGATGCTGGAGGGGAGAAAAAAGAAGGCAGAGAGGAAAAAAAAAAAAAGGGAGGGGGGGGAGAGAGAGAGAGAGGAAGGGAGAGGGGAACGCACTCCGACAACGGAACATGCAGAAAGACACAGCGAGGTTGGAAGAGGGGGTAAGGGAAACATAGGCTGTGAAAAGAGAGTTAAAACGAGAAAAATAGGGACAGGGAGAAAATGTGGCCAACCCCTCAAGCTGGACTACCCTTCCTTTCTGCTTTTCGATTTTTTTTTTTTTTCATTCTTACCTCCTGTATGCGAGCGAACAAGTGCTCGAATACTCGCGGCGTCATTCCTCGAAGCTCTGAACAAAAATTCATGTCACCTAGCATTGTGTACGTCTTTACACTTCCCGTCTGCTCAGACAGAAACACCACACATTAGACACCTTTCTTACGCCGCAACACACGACCATAAAGCCTGCAAAGAGGAGCAACATCGTTGAAAACAACTGACAACGGGAGGAAGCCAAGAAAAAGAGCAAGCCTACAATCAAGAATGGGTGCAAAAAGAATACTTAAAGGTTCCTCTCAAATGACCAGTCACCCATTTTTTCTTTGCCTCATTGACTTCGCGAAAATGTCCTGCAGCAAAGCTGAAAAAAAATGCACGCACACCTGGGGACAAATCGAACCATTACTGCTTTCCATATCCAAAATGCAGGGGCTCGGGGCAAAATTATTC